CATGCTGGCTTGTGTGTAAGTGACATTAAGATGACAACTTTGACATTATGAATAGAGACCAATTTAAATTTTTTTCTACTTAAGAAAGATGGAAACGAACTTCTTTGAAAGGATAGGACGTAGTGATAGCCCATGATTTGTGCATCCAGCACCAGGTTCCTTTGCAACCACCAGAGGACTGTCCGACATATTCTTTAGATGTTGTGAGTACTGCTTGAAATGCTTGGCCGTCAGCTTGATGTAATATAAAAATGTTTCTTGTAATTAATTTTAATTAAATTGTGGACCCTAAAGACAGTAGTTATAGTGCAGTCTCTTTCTAGTTCTTCACCCCCTAGAAATGGGACTGCCATGATTTCTAGAAGGTCCCTTTTGTGACTCTTGAAGCATAGCGATTTTGGTCTATTTGACTTTCTAAATATGTGTGCTAGGCATACCTGTCACGGTTTTCCAAATTCCTATCTAAGATACATCCTAAATGCTAACCAGATTATTGGTATCATAAATGACAAAAATTTTACTAATTTAACTAAACAGTTTGGTTGAGGTATTGATATCTGCCACATATTCTAGAAAATTTCTTCATTTCCCTTTACTAAAAAAGAAAACTATGTAAAATAAATAAACATTCACCCTGGAAATGGAGAAAACAAGCTTTATTATAATGATCTGATATTTTGTGCATGGTAAAGATATACACATGAATCTTGTTTCTCCTATGTTTCAAGACAGAATTAATTTAAAGTTTTATTGTAGACTAAAGCATCCAAAATACTGTGGTACATATGTAGCTACGAACATACAAACACTTTGATGCACAGCGTTCATTCTTTTCTTTAAATAGGCAGTCAGCATTTCGATTCGTAAAAGAACAAATGAGAATATATCAGTATCAACGTCAGAGAGCGCAAGACTTAGTGTTCTATACACAAAACGTATGAAACAGACCTAGAAAGATGGAATGTACAAACTTTAAAAAGAAAAAAAAGGAAGCAAAAACCCTTAATACTCATACATAGGATTGAAAGGCAATAGAATTGAGAATGATACAAAGAATTCTATTACAAGAATACACTCTGTTGATGACAGAACATTCCCATGTCATAAAGCAAAAGCATTGAGTTTAAGGCTGTGTTGCTTTCGAAAGTTAATGGACGTGCTGTACATTCATTGGGACAACATAGCCGATTTATTAATCTATTTTAGAATATGAATAGCTTTCATACATTCTCCACAAACAGACCACACAATCACTGCCACACAGTTCATCTTCAGAAAGTTTCAAGATTAACATCATGATTTGTAGCTTACTGTCATTTAAAACAAAACAAAAAAAATCATTTATTTATACCAAACAAATCTTTAATGGGCACTTAGTTTCCTTTATGGCAATACTAGATTCCTAGTTATCAAAAATATTAAAATAATTGTAAAGTTTAAAACCCTGCAACATTGACAGAATGCAACAGTATTACGACTTTCGACTTTAAGCAAAATTAGATGACGTTTGCAGCAAATAGCTTCAATTTTTTCCTACCTGGAAAGGTCTTTTTTTAAAATTGTTAAACTAAAAATACTCCTCCCTCTTCAGAAGCTGGTGAATAGGGAGGATACTATAGAGTCCAAATGTACAAAAAGGTTTTTCCCATTTGAAGTAATATGCACAGTACCTAACGTTCATTTGCTATTTCCTCTAATTCACTCAGAAGGTATTACCAAAGCATTTATGTGAATCCTTCACCAAGGATCCAGAGACACTTGCTACCGTACTGCTATTCCAGTTAACTCCAAGTGAGGACATACCCTGTATATTTAGTAGTGGAAGCAAGTGCCTTCTAGTTGCATGACCTGTAGTATTTCTTTGTCTCAAATCTAGTCAATGGGTAAATGAAAATAAGGAAACTTGGGGACTTGTTTAGTTACTGGAGACTAAAGTTTGATCAAGATACTAAGTACCTTTAAAACAATGGTGAACAGTCATAACGGCTTTTTATTCATGTGTTTCTGGACGGTCAAGTGACTACGTCCCCAGAGTCCGGCAGGGGAGGTCTGTATCGGGCAGGAATGCATTGTCACTGACCTTTACATTCGAACTGGCAATCTTTTGCCATTAAGTGCCCAGGGGACATTTGAATGGGTAATTTTTCAGTGCTACTTAATCATGAATGTATGACAGGTTCTGTACACTTGACAAAGAAAAATCAAACAATAATGATAGCTCCGGGAAAAAAAGTCACTTATTTTAATATCCTTCTCAGTTTACCAGGAACCATTTTCCATAGAATGTTGCCAAAATTTCATTAAAATCTTGTCTATTCGTATCTTATCAGCAGCACTTTCCCCCCCTCAAATACACTTACTAAGAAATACAGTAAATGATCCTAAGTATCCAAATGTGAAATGTTATCTATGCTTTAACTAACATACATGATTACATATTTTTGGGTAAAAATACAGTGTTTCTTGGAGTGCCCATAGCATGTGTTTTAGTAACAGTGGAACAGGTCTGAATCAAAGTATCTATTCTTCCATTCCAGTTTGTGCCAATATTGACAGATTAAAAAAAAATTAGCCTTGTATGCAACCTATTATTGAGCTATCCAGCCTGTTATGGTATGATGGCTGGTTAACTTCTAAATTCACAGATACAATTTCAATGTTGTGCAAAAAAACTCTTTTAAGTAAACTAGTCTTAAGACCAACAGCCTGTGAACAGAATCTAAATAGGAAGCCATTTTTACTTGTGAAAATAAACTAAAATTAATTTAACCAATTTAAAAAGTTTTCTTCTAAATAGTCTAGGAGCTATCAAGAGTCTAGCTTATCTTGAATGCAAAATGTTATTAAATGGCAAAATGAAATTCCTCCCTAGAGTGTAAGCTCCAAGCAGGCAGGGATTTCTGTCTGATCCATTGCTGTTTCCCCAGTCCTGGGAATAGTGCCTGGCACCTAGGAAGCACTCATTAAATACAAATGTTTACATTCAAAAGACTTAGTTTGCTGATGTTAGGAAACAGTATCTTAGTTTAACATTCTAAAAATGTTATTGAATTTTATAACTCTGTCATAGTCTCAAATATTTTGAAAGCTCTACCTAACTAAAAAAAAAAAAAGAAGAAGAAAAGTAAACCTAAATGTAAATCTTCCTGAAAAATTTTCTTTCAGAGGTTGATTTGGGCATAATAAATTTGACAGACAACTGGAAATAGCTAGATTCTCCTTCTAAATTTAAAAAAGTCCTATATAAGAGAATGACTAAATTATAAATTAATAAGCAATAAACATCACATATCATTAGACATACGGGAAATGTTTTCTTATAGTACAGTTCTAAGGTGCTTTCAGTGAAAAAGATCCCAAAGTCATTATCAAAAATGCCAAACATGACATCCTATTTGGTAGAACTGAGTAGAAAATTAAACAGTGGAAAGAGACCACATCTTATTTTACAGTATCAATGACAGATTAACAATTGACTAAATTATTCTTCACATTTCTCCAAATGCATGTATACTTAAATTAAATGTAACTAAAGTCCAACGTTTCTTTTTCTTTCGACCTGTTTTTGTTTTGTTTTTGAAAGCACAGAAGGCCATTTTCTGACTATAAAAGTCAGCCGATATCATCATTACTGGAAAATGGTGAAAATTAAACCTGTTTTAGGGCTTACTCTACAAGGACGGCTTTAAACTGCGCAGTAAAGGAATGTGCTGGACGATGCTTCTGTCTTTCAGGGTGCTGCCTATTTCAATACACCAAAGATTCAGCTATATATATATATATATATATGTATGATACATTCTACCTTACCCTAATCATGTATACATAGTCCTTTAATGCCTCTACTATTCATTAGACAATGATAAATAACCATAACATGCCCTTACCTGTAATGCTCTCGAGATAACACGACTTTGGTAACACTTGCTTTCTAAGGGGAAATCATTACTCAATCACATGCCTTTGGTTGACACCATCAGTCCTCCAAAGGGCTACTTATGGCTCTCTGTCCTAGGATACTGGTGTCCTACTACATGTGCTGACATTTTGCAGGAGGTAAAGCTTTCGCTTTCAGGAAGTGGAAGAGGAGAGACACGTGAGAACATTGGCACATAAAACGTGGCTAATTTTTTCTTGATTACATTCTAGTGCATTAGTCTGGAGTTGAGGGGGCTGTTTGTTTACCGAAGGTATTTAATTAAATACCAAAGGTATTACAATAGCAATATGCTTTTCAAAGCATTGGGGATTTCAGGTTTCCCTGAAAATGGACTTTGTTTTTTGATACAAGGTGAGCAGGAGAGAAACGGTGTAAAGAACACACAAAAAGGAACTTGGATCTAACCCAAAGGATGGGAAATTTGCAGTGGTTTTTAAGTGCTAACCTCAAGAGGCCTGCCTAATCAGAGCTGGGAGGGTTTTGCAAGACAGTCTTATTTTTTCCTAATGTGTATGTAGTTATCAATAACCAAAAAATGTCACATGAGTAATACCTACTGTAAAAGTGAGGTTAGAAGATCCCCCGGGTCTTGTGACTGAAGTTAAATAAAGTATATAACTACAACAGATTTTGTTTTTGTTTTGTTTTTGGAAGCTCTGCACAAAAGCTACCATTCACAGGATTAACGAATACCTTTAAACATTCTAGTTTTTGTTTTTTGTGGGTTTTTTTTGTTTTTTTTTTTTAGTGTTTGTTTGATTTGCAAAATCAGTTCAACTACATAAACCCCTGTCCGATAAGCCATAGTTCACAGGTGTAAAACTTTGCAGTTTCCATAGATTCAGTAGAAGGGATTTCTTTTCTTTAAACCCTAAAAGGTGAATTACAGAAATCAGATATGCAGGTTTTAAGGAAATAGTTACATTCAGAAATAACCTTGGAAAGTTCACCAATGATTCCTTCTAGCATGAAAAGTCTAGTGTAATCTGGTCCCGCGTCGAGAAATCCATTCCAGTTTATAGTGCAAGACCTTTGTAAGGGACTGTCCAGCTGCCTGCCATTACTGTAAGTACCGGTAGACCTTGAAACAGTGGTTTCCAGAGTCTGCAACCACAACATGGCCATCTGAAGTTAGGGCCAGGCCTTGGGGGCCATAGAGTGGGTCAGCAGATGTGTTAATGTAGGACAAAAATGATCCACTTCCATCAAAAACCTGTAAAAAATATAAAGTCAGAGTGTTCTAGGAAAAGTTATAGTAATAAGATGAAATAGGAGTTGGAAAACCCTTGATGCTAATATTTTCAATAGAAAAGCATGCGTGTAAGGAGCACCTGGTGGGGGGCAGTCGGTTAGGCATCCAACTCTTGGTTTTGGCTCAGGTGGTGATCTCAAGGTCATGAGAAAGAGCCCCACATGGGGCTCCGCACACAGCACAGGGTCTGCTTAAGACTCTCTCTCCCTCTGCCCCTCCCTCACTCTCTAAAATAAATAAATCTTTAGAAAAAGCATGCATGTAAGCCCACAAGTTTGTTTAGGTCTATCACATATCCAGGCCTTCCCTCTACTTAACCTTGCTTTTTCTCCTCTCATTCTCTGTTCCCCAGAGTCACTGACAAGGAGCATGACATTGGCCAACAGATCTCACTTACATTCTTACAGTGGTCAGTTTGAGGGGAATAGCCCTCGATGGTGCCTGAAAATGAATGACCCTTGTTTCTTACTCTCAGCCTTCCCTTTCCCCTCAATCATAACGGAAAAATCAGCAACTAGACCACAGAGGTATGGTTGTCAGTCATAGCATACAATGAGAAGATAAAGATCTTTTTTTTTTTTTTTCAGAAAAGAAGGAATTATAAGAAGTCAGTGGTTTACTATGTACATTTGTGGGGTTTGTTTTTGTTTTATTTATTTAATTATTTATTTATTTATTTTTCCTTTTTTTAAATTAACATATAATGTATTATTTGTTTCAGAGGTACAGATCTGTGATTCATCAGTCTTACACAATTCACAGCGCTCACCATAGCACATACCCTCTCCCATGTCCATCACCCAGCCACCCCATCCCTCCCACCCCTCCACCACTCCAGCAACCCTCAGTTTGTTTCCTGAGATTAAGAGTCTCTGATGGTTCGTCTCCCCCTCCGGTTTTGTCTTGTTTCATTTTTCCCTCCTTTCCCCTATGATCCTCTGTCTTCTTTCTCAAATTCCTCATATCAGTGAGATCATATGATAATTGTCTTTCTCTAATTGACTTATTTCACTCAGCATAATACCCTCTAATTCCATCCACGTAGTTGCAAATGGCAAGATTTCATTTTTTGATGGCTGCATAATATTCCACTGTATATATATATACACCACATCTTCTTTATCCATTCATCTGTTGATGGACATCTTGGCTCTTTCCATAGTTTGGCTATTGTGGACACTGCTGCTATAAACATCGGGGTGCACGTGCCCCTTCGGATCCCTACATTTGTATCTTTGGGGTGAATACCCAGTAGTGCAATTGCTGGTTCATAGGGTAGCTCTATTTTTCAACTTTTTGAGGAACCTCCATACTGTTTTCCAGAGTGGCTGCACCAGCTTCCATTCCCACCAACAGTGTAGGAGGGTTCCCCTTTCTCTGCATCCTTGCCAATATCTGTCATTTCCTGACTTGTTAATTTTAGCCATTCTGACTGGTATGAGGTGGCATCTCATTGAGATTTGGATTTGGATTTCCCTGATGCCGAGTGATGTTGAGCACTTTTTCATGTGTCCGTTGGCCATTTGGATGTCTTCTTTGCAGAAATGTCTGTTCATGTCTTCTACCCATTTCTTGATTGGATTAGTTGTTCTTTTGGTGTTGAGTTTGATAAGTTCTTTATAGATTTTGGATACTAGCCCTTTATCTGATATGTCATTTGCAAATATCTTCTCCCATTCTGTCGATTGTCTCTTGGTTTTGTTGACTGTTTCCTTTGCTATGCAAAAGCTTTTTATCTTGATGAAGTTGTGGGTTTTTTTTTTAAGATTTTATTTTTAAGTAATCGCTACACCCAACATGGAGCTCGAACTCACAACCCCAAGATCAAGAGTTACACGCTCTAATAACTGAGTTAGCAGGACATCCCACATGTACATTTGTTTTGTTTTGGCGGGGAGAGGGAGAGAGAGAATCTTAAGCAGGCTCCATGCCCAGAGCAGAGCTCCATGTAGGGCTCAATCTCACACCCCTGAGATCATGACTTGAGCCGAAATCAACAGTCAGAGGCTTAACCGACTGAGTCACCCAGGTACCCCATGTACGCTTGGATATTAAGTAGTCTTCTTTTGGTCTGTAAGCTTCTGCCGTGATGAAATCAAAGGAACACTTCTTCCTAAGGCCCAGGCTGGTTTCTTTTGACCATTCTGTTAGGCCCATAGGTTTTTTAAAAGGCAGTTGTGAGGAGGCAGGTGCTTATGAGGGCCACGATCCAAACAGCTTAGCATCTGTGGTCTTATATAGAACTGCTTTGTGAACTTAGTTCCCTGTCTGGCTTCTGGCTTTCCATCACATAGAGAATGCCTCTTTCAAATGTAGATGTCTGCTGGCATAATTAAGCAAGATAAATATAATAGAGAAATAAAAGCATTTAGAGTTATATTTATAGCCTCAATCTTTCTTCTTCTTCTTTTTTTTTTAAGTAATCTCTACACCCAATGTGGGGCTCGACCTCACAACCCCGAGATCAAGAGTCGCATGCTCTAATGACTGAGCCAGCCAGATGCCCCTCAATCCTTTTTCTGGGAGGTAAATACCTATATCAGATTCAAACTGTTGACGACTGCTATCTTCACAAAGACATCTGGATGCTGCTAGATTTAACCAGTGCATTCTGAGGTCCTAGGAGCTCTGCACAAGGCCACATCAGCAAGGATAAATAGCCCTGTCTGCAGATGTATGTTTAGATTCATGCAGGTGTTTACATAGAGAAATGGGAGAAAAGAATAGTTTTACTTTAGCCTGAGGATTCAAAATCTTTGTTCTTAATTTATGTCTTAATTTAGAAAAAAAAAATCATACTTTTTTATGTCTGGCAAAGACTATAAACCCCTTCTCAAAAATAGGGTTTTAATATTTCTTTTCTAGGATGTAACCACTTTTATTATTTTTTATACCCAACTAAAATGCCAAATGCCATTCATGATACCATTATTCCTAAACCACGAAAACATATTTAAATTCATTATTATTTTTTAATTTGTTTTTGTTAACTTCTATTATTTATTTATTTTTAAAGATTTTATTTATTTATTTGAGCGAGAGGGAGGACAGAATGAGAGGGGGTAGGGTCAGAGGGAGAAGCAGACTCCCCACTGAGCAGGGAACCTGATGCGGGACTCAATCCTGGGACTCCAGGATCATGACCTGAGCCAAAGGCAGATGCTTAACTGACTGAGCCACCCAGGCGCCCCGTTTTTGTTAACTTTTAATTTTGAAATAATTACAGATTCACAGAACATAGGAAGTTGCAAAGATAGTACAGAGAAATCCTATATACCTTTCACCTGGTTTAGTAGAATACTCCAGTGAAACCACCTGAGTCTGGGGAGTTTTAAAATTATGAACTAAATTTCCTTAATAGTTTTTGGGGTATTCAAATTACTTATTTTATATGGGTGAGTTGTGGAATTTCTACTTTTCAAGGAATTGGTCCATTTCATCTAAATTGTCAAATTTATGCATGTAGAATTGTTCACCGAATTTCCATATGCCTGCAGAGTCTGTAATGATATTGGTGTTCTGTATCCCTTCCTTTATCAATCTTGCTAGAGGTTTGTCAATTTTATTGATCTTTTCAAGGAACCAACTTTCTGTTTCATTGATTTGCTCTATTGTTTGCCTTGCATTTCATTGATTTCTGATCTATCTTCACTATTTCCTTCCCTCTGCTTGCTTTCAGTTTGTTTTGTCCCTCTCTTTCCAGCTTCTTGATGGAGCTCAGAATATTGATTTTTGACTTTGTAATGTAAGCATTTAGTGCTATTAATTTCCTTCTCATGTAGAATGGTGATTACTAGGGCTGAGGAGTGGGGGAAATGGGCAGAAGTTGATCAAAGGGTACAGACTTGCAGTTAGAAACTGATTTAGTTCTGGGGAGCTGATGCATAGTGTGGTGATTATAGTTAATAAAACTGTCTTAGGTTCTTGAAAGTTGCTAAGGGAGTAGAACTATATGTTGTCCCCACAAAAAAGAAATGTTAACAGTGTGATGGTGATGGAGGTGTTAGCTAAAGCTTTGGTGGTAATCATTTTGCAATATATAATTGTATCAAATCAACACATTGTACACCTTAAACTTACACAATATTGTATGTCAATTATACCTCAATAAAGCTGGGGAAAAAATCTCCCTCTCAGGATTGTCTTAGCTGCACTCCACAAACTTTGATATGCTGTATTTGCATTTTCATTCAGTCCAATATATTTTTAAATTTTCCTTGAGACTTCCCCTTTGATTCAGGTTATTCAGCAGAATAATGTTTTTAAATGCATAAAACAAAATACATGGGATTATAAAGGTAAAAATTATATTAAAATATAGTTATCAAAATTTTACAAAATTGCAACATAGTAATATGTGTACTTTTTTAACCAACACACTAAAGTAACAAGAAATAGTGATGGGTCTAATATTGACTATTTTTGAAGAGTGATGAGCATAAATGATAATTCAAGACCTCTCAACTATAATATGGAAATTTCTGTGATTCCTCTTGGTGACAAAGTTATAGGTATTTCTAAAACTACTGTGATTGTTGCCTATATTCATCATTAAAGAAAATGATAGTTTTTAGTTAGAAGCTAGTAGAAATAGTAATATAATATTTTGTTCAATGGACCTCTTGAATTCTATCCACACACACTTTGGGGGGTCCATGGGATGTTAAAAAATTCCCAGTTTCAGAGGGTTTCACTCTGGTAACCTGTTGATGTTTTTTCTAACTCCACCTTCCTTAGTTCAGCACTTCTGGTGAGATTACCTGTGGTCTATGAAGAACCTAACCAAAGAAGAATGGAAAACATTCCAGTTGGGAGACAGCCAATTCTTCGCTTTCAACAAATAACGATCACTCTAAACAAATACATTAGCATTTTCAGTTACCTGGATTCTGCTGTTTCCCCAGTCTGCTACAATGATGTTTCCATTTGAATCCACCGCTACACCTGTTGGAGCATTAAACTGCCCATTTCCTTCTCCATTTGAGCCAAACTTCAACATGAATTCTCCCTCCTGATTAAACACCTGTATGAGATATTTTTAAATGGTTTTATTTTAAATTGAAAACTGAGCCAACATTATGAGTTTTAAAAAATATGTATCGAGCAGGATTTTATAACAATAAGACCTATGATTTAAGACATTCTAAAAAAAGAAAAAAAATCTACAAAGTAGACCCCCATATCACTTATGGTTCCCCAATTTGCTTATATAAATTCGATTTGTGTTAAATCACTTGTTATTTCTAGCTTATATCTGGTTATTGAATACTTATATGAAAAATACTTTCGTTATAAATTATAAAATATATACAAATATAGGGTAGGATGAGAAAGTGGAGCTATGATTTTCAACAATATTACTCTTTCTGCCTTTAAATAAATAGCTAAATCTCAAGGACTGGCATCGTATTTCTAACAGGATGGATGATCAAAGTTGGATCAGGACCTAGGAGCTTTTTGTTACGCCACATGCTCAGAATTTATTACCATTTTGCAAAGTCCACATGGGAAAAAGCAGGCTAGACTTCACACTTACATCAGGGGAAAGTGTGCATGCGCACGTGTGTGCGTGTGTGTGTGTGTAATGGCACAGGTGAGTAATAAGAGAAGGGTTTTTTTATATATTTTTTCCAAAATACATATTTAGTTAAAATAGAGAGTTTATATGACCATAAGGCTTTGGTGGATGGCGCATACCGAGGGGAGGGGGGCTGACAGAAGTGGTAGGCTAAACAGAACTCTTCAGCAAATTCTCTAATATCTGATATGGAAAAACAATGGGTTCTTGTGGTTAATTAAATATTCTTGTTAAGGGAGTGTTACTCTATTATGTATCAAATACAGATTATTGATTTGGAGAGAATTAGATTTTTAATATGTGTTTAAATATAAGACTATAGTAAGCATGATTTTATCTTGACTCAGACAATACTTAAGGATTGTGAAATATCTCCAGGATATTATTTTAAGCTTCCATTATCATCTAGCCTACATGTGTAAAAATACTCATTAACAAATCAAAAAGGATTACACGCAAAGCACCATTAGAATAAGGGTTCCTACAATGTGGAACTGAGGGAGCGTTCACTCTACCCAGTGCAGATCTAATTGTTAAATGATCTCAGGACCTTTTACAGATTCTCCTGTTGCCAAGTCTGTGACCAAGAAAAGATGAAAATGACTCTTTTTAGTTATGTACATTGGGAAAGTGAAGCGAGACACTTCCATCTCTAAAGGCTAAACTTCCTTTAAGATGGAGAAAAAGAATCACGATTGCTTCTTGAATTAATTATGTAACTTGCAAAGTAAGCAAGCAACCTCTTTGGTTCTTTGGAAAGGATGAGACAAGAACCAGCTTTTGCTAAGATGTTATGTTTTAAAAATCTTTCCTGACTCTTTTTATCTCCTTTCACACAAAACATCCTTGTTTTAAAGACCAATGAGCGTGTGTGCTTGCTGGTGAAGACACAATCTATTATTCTCTGGTCTTTCCCTTATTAAGTCTGACCAATAATCTTTTTGTTTGTTTGCACTGATCTCGCTCAGTAAGTATGTTTTCCTTGGCATGATCCAAATGGCTCAAATGCTTCTGCTCTATTTTAGAATGACGGAGAATGCCAAATTTAGTACTACTTGTTTTGCAATGAAAAGAGAATGCATGCTAAAGGTAGCTAAGGAACTAGACCATTTGTTAGCCTTGACCTATAGGCACATTGACCAAAAGAGAAGTGACTGGAATCCAGAACCACTGCTAACTGCCAAGTGTTACATGGGAAACAAAAGCCCAACTAGTCCATCAAAGCTATAAGGCAACAGCTATCAAAAAGAAAAAACAAAATAGACTTGTTTTCTTAAGTAAGAGGAAAACTGAATATTTTAGCAATTCATTGCTAAAATAATCTACCTCTACTGTACTGAAATTTTTTGGAAGAGTTTTCAGAATCTTAGTAATTATAAATTTCCTCATAGTTTCTATTTTTCCCACCTAAAACATCATTTAATGGCTTATAAATTATTCAGATGAAAACATTTTAAGAGGCAGATACATGAGCCAAAATCATTTTTACAGCTTTGATTTTTACAAGTTTTTACAGCAAGTTTTTTGTAACTCTGATAATCCTTTCCTGATTTCAAAATTCCTCTCACCTCAAATACCACCTCCACTTGGAAGTCTTCCCTGATAGTCACAGAAATCTGCTCTTTGTTTTCTTCTGGATACTTATAGAACTTTATATGTACCTATTTTTAAAAAATAGTTTATTGCTATCTGCCTTGCATTTTGATTACTTACATAGGTTTTATTTCCTTCTACATTGTCAGCCAGAGCTGGGAAATAGGAGTCCTCCCACATACCAATCAATGCCAGTTGATTCACAGAGGTTGCCTTGAGCACTGGGACGGGATGGCTCTGAGGCCACAGTTGGGCTTAGTAGAAAAGAGCAACTTGATTAATAGGACTGTCTCCCGGTGGGGGTGGGCTGCATCTGTGCCAGGCGTTTGCCGGCCTTTGCTGATCTACGTGCGTTATCTTCTGGTTAAATGCCCTCGAGTTAAATGATTCCTCTATAAAGGGAGCGAAGGCTAGAAGTGTGGTAACAGCCTGTTATTCCTCTCTAGTTATTCTCCTCCCACAAGACTGTCACAACCCCCAGGGAGGACAGTCTAGAACCCAGTCCCTCCTGCCCCTTTGAGGATCCCCCCTCCCCGCCACTGCTCTCCCCACGGTCCTCTTCCTTTTGCCAGGACAGGTCCTGTGGAGAGAGAGACACTGAGGATGGTGGGGGGAGTGGGGGCAGAGCTCTATCACTATGGCAGCGGCTCGGGAAGCAGCCTGAGAAGTAAGCAATGGTGGGCGTCCTTCCGCTCCTCCTGCCTCATCACCACAGCCCGCACTGCTCTAGTCTTTGCACAGGGACTAGGTACCCACTAAAAAAGGCTCCAAACCTTTCCAGTTACCCAGATTAAAGATGCCTTTGGGGGCAAACTGGGGAAATGAAGCGGTGAAGGACTCCACCGAGAGAGTACCTTTAGTTGCTGAAATCCTATCCCTACGGAGCTATTCCAGGTATCAACCAGAACAAACTATTTTTCACTTTGGTTGCCCAATGGTTGTCTCTAAGTGCAAACTTCAGTCACTGGCGTATACCACCTCTGCTGTTTCCTTCTTATCCTTCCTTTAAAAATGCCTCACTTTAGGGGCGCCTGGGTGGCTCAGTTGTTAAGCGTCTGCCTTCGGCTCAGGTCATGATCCCAGGGTCCTGGGATCGAGCCCCGCATCGGGCTCCCTGCTCAGCGGGAAGCCTGCTTTTCCCGCTGCTCCTCCCCCCTGCTTCTGCTCTCTCTCCTGCTCTCTGACAAATAAAATCAATAAATAAAATCTAAGAAAAAAAAGTCTCACTTTAAACAATTTAATTTACTTACAAGGAAAACTTTCTATCGCTTCTCTAAGTACAAACCAGTACCGCTTGATGTAAACAGAAGGTAACCCTAAAAATAAACATATGACTCCCAAAACAAAAATGTCTGCCAGTGCAGTGCCCGTGACCACCTGGCACGCACCACACCTTGAGAATCGTGGTCTAGAATGTTATGGAACATTTCCTCATTTCAGTAAAATGAGAAATTTGTTTTGATTCATTTTTATATATCCTGGTTGGCTCACAATAAAAGTCAAATCTTTCTCCCCCCGTGCCCCGCCCCCCACCACAACTAGTAAGAAAGATGTACCGCACTGTTCCGGGGAGGGGAATGGGCATTGTATTCCAGGGAACACGCAGTGTGTGAGGGCCTTCTAAGAAGTATGAAACAGCTGTAGGAATGTATACTAGGGCTATTCCCCCCTCAAAAATCTGTGGTTGTAGCAGAGTTCTAATATCTAATTTTGTTTGAAATTTTGTTTGATGATGCAGATAATTGAAAAAGTGATCTTGTTTTAATTTATTGAATAGCCACAAATATGAAGCTTCAGAAAGTTCTGCCTCTCTAAGTTCAGGCGACTGCTTTTTCAAATTTCATTTTTAAGTCATCTCCATTTACACCCGTTTCAAATTAAGAAACTCATCAACCATCCTACTCTGTTCAATGTTCTGACTCTTCAAAGTCTGTGTGTCCAAATTCAAACCTGCATCTCAGGGAGCAGCAAAGTCTACTCTTTGAAGTTAATTCCTTTAGTTCCTGTGCTTATACGTCAATATTATATTATTTTCTCTCAGACTGATTTCCCAATAAAACCAGTTAAAAGATAACAATAATCGATGTGTTGATAGTACCTTGACAGAATGATTATGGAAATCCGTAACAATAATCTCATTATTGCTATTTACAGCTGCAAAATGGGGACCTGCAATAAAGGTGAAAAAAATATGTGACGACCGGTCCAATAAAAATGATTACAGCAACACGGCAGTGACCAAATTTGACCTATTTGATATTTAAGAACGAACAAAGAATGACAGGCTCCATTCTTGAAAGATCATTCAGCCAAAACTCTGGCTCGAGATCACCTGGGCGCTCTGTCCTTCTACTCCTGGGACTCTCTATCTGCCTTCCTTTAAAGCAAGCTGAGAGGGCCTGCAGCCCTGATGAAGTGGAATGAGTGGTAAGCACCTGAATTCATTCTCTACGCCACCGTCTGAAAGTCACATCTGCCAGCTTCCCTGAGGACACCTTAATCCTTTCAAGACCCTCACGTCCCCCTGAGGAAAGATGTGGTGATTCTCAGTCCTAGGAAAAAGACTCCAATATGTAATATTTTTTAAAAAGTAGAGCAGAAACCCATCCTCGGTAATTTGGGGTGACATTCAGAAGCTGGCAGCACCACAGACAAGGCACAAAAAAAGATGATGCAAATTGTCAAATGCCAAAAGCATCCTTTCAAAAAGAAAATGTAAGAAACGGCTTTCAGCCTCTTCTTGCTGATGTGAAAAACTAAGAAGCTTGTGCTTGCAAAGGGGGTACACCAAAAAGAGAGGTAACAACTGCCCTTCCTGAATATTCTAAAGTCCTGCTCTCTTATCATCACCTAGGAAGGTGAAAAAAGATTCCCATTCAGAAGCTCTTTAGACAAAGCTACAGCTGGGGAGAACTAGGAGGTACTCCACTGTTCCTCAACCATTTTTAGTTAAAAAAATATTTTATCTTAAAATTTATGTTTTAAATTTAACATTAATATTCAAAGATTAGATTTCTGAGTTGTACACTGCGGTCAATGAAAACCACGCATGGACTGCAGTTCGACTTACTGCGGGTGGAGTCATTGAGAAGCATCCCACCATGCTTTCGCTTAGATTTCATCCCCAGTATCTTTCCCAAAGCCAGCAAACACACTGGGGATTGAGGCATCTTCCACATGCTCCAACATCATGCAAACGTGAGCAGAAGAAGCATAAAAAAGGGGGTTTACATATTACCATCGAGTGTACCTGCAAACTGCCTGTCCCCATTTCCTCGGCTACCAAACCTGGTGACTATCTTCCCGTTTGGCTGGAAGATAAACACGCAGCATGCTTTGTTGTCCACCACAATGATGTGCCCGTTGCGGTCCACAGAGACTCCTTTGGGCCCCATCAACTTTCCTGATCCAATTTTTGTCTGTTAGAAACAAGTACAGAGAATGAGGCTTAAAACACTACAGAACATGAAGACAAGACACTGGTTTTAGTACACATGTACCTGAATGTTCAAACGGGTGCGCAACTACTCATAGGTCACCACAATCTTCTGTTTTTGCCACATCCGTTAACTGCTACTAAGATGTATGTGAAATCCTTACTTTTATTTAAGAGGGTCACCACCAAAAATCTTCTTGAATCCCCTTAACTGAGGTCACAGTCCCCTTGTAAAGATGCAATGTGACCTAGCAAAAGACCACGGGATCAGGAGGGCGGAGACAGTTCTACACCTGTCGCGTGCTTCAGACACGCCTAGAATGGCACAAAAGCATTTGGTTCCCTCAAGCTTTGGATTCCTTATATATTAAAAAATTTAAAAAAAAAAAGACTTCAGTAACTTCCAATGGCATTTTTGGAAATACATACTAAGTAAAACAATGTCAATAAAGTGTTTAGTGTGGAATACAGCCCATATTAAGCAGTCATTAAAGGGAAGTAATCATTGTCATTATTGTGGATCATAATTAATAGCAAAATTGCCAAGCATCTCCCTTTGGACTTCACCAGTGCTAAGTTCCATGAAGGCAGGAATCATGTCTGTTTTATCCATGATTGTGTACTCAGAGCCTAGCGTACTTCTTGGTGCCCAACAGGGACTCAATAAATATTTGCTGAATATATTGATTTGAAAAGTCTAGCATTATTTAGGGTAATCATGATTATTGAATAGTTCCAGTTTTCAGTATTTTAAGATGGGAGAAAAGCATTCGATTTCTATCAAATGCATACCATATGCATTGTAAATCTTACTCATTTTTCTGAATAGACATATAAACGCCTGCTTGCTAGGAGATGCATGTCGTGTATCTTTACTTTTATAGCTCCATTATAAAGAAGTACTTTACCCATTCACCCATTTATTTACTAATGTTACAAACACTAATGGAGCACCACCTCTGTGGCTAATGATTCTAGGCACTGAGTAGACGAAGACAAGTAAGACCAGCCCCTACCCTGGAGGATGTCTCGGTCACATTACAGAGACAAATACAGTCCCTGGGTCCTTTTTAAAGTGCCTAGTATTGAGGGTTTGATTGGTAGATTTGGGAGAATTCAAATAGGTGATGTCAGAAGCCAAAGAGAACAAAAACTTAATGCGATGGCTCACTATAGACAAAGAAGGAGAAGGAGCCCCCAAGGTGAGGGAGCTGCCAGGCTGAGTGCCTGGTTAAGTGGGGAAGGAGGCAAGAGCCTGCGCTCTCCCAGGCACCGAGGCCCAGAGGGTCGAGTAGCTCTCTATGTGTTTTTATAAATGCCTTCTCAACTCTATTATTAAACAAAGCAAGGTACTGAACAGTGGGTATAGTCTGAGCCCACCTGAATTAAATGTGTTTATATCTGTATACATACTCCTGGAAGAGAAAGTAAGAAGCCAGTGATATTACTGGTGGCAGGAAAAACTGTTTTCATTTTATGCTCATCTGTGGAGTTATTTGAAAAACCTGTTTGGATGTATTACTTTTTAGATTAAAAATTTTAATCCCCAAAAATTTACGTTTCCATAGGTTCTGTTTTAGTCCTCTTATTTTCTCTCTCTATATTAGCGCTGCCTGATAGAAATATAACATGAGCCATGTATGTAATTAAGATTTTTCTAGTAACCAACATCGAAAAAACAAAGAAAAAAAGGAAAATTATGTTAATCATATATTGTATTTGACCTAACATATCTAAAAGTTATCATTTCAGCATGTAATTAATATTAAAATTATTGATGAAATATTTTTACATTTTTTCCTAAGTCTTTAAAATCCAGTGTGTATTTCACATGCATAGCACATCTCAATTCAGACCAGTCCCATTTCAAGAACTCAGTATCCACTGTGACTAGTGGCTACCAAATTGGACAGTGCAATTCTCTACACTTCTAAGATCTCATTTATGCAATGGCATCAACTTTCACCTCTGTGTGTAAGAGTCTCAAATCCGTATCTTTAGTCCTGGCCAATTTTACAAGTTATTACCTTAAACTCAACCAGTGTTAAACCAAATTCATCTCTTCATTTCCACCATTTAAAAAAGAAAAAGAAAAAGAAAAAGAAAACCCAAATTAGCACCTCCCGATTTCCTAGTTCCTTTTATAATACTACAATTCATTCAAACCCAGGATCAAAATTTCAGAGCAAAATTTACTCTTTTGCCAGTTGGAACCTCAGTTTCTCATCTGTAAAATGTCAGCTATTGTATTTACCTCCTGGGTCATGCAGATTCTGAAGGATAGCATACCAAGCACTGCAAATGGCACACCATCTCCTTCTCTCCATCCATTCAGTTGCTGTCACAACCTGCCCCTCAGGAGTATCTTTTCTAACAGAGACATGCAGATGTGTGCAGAAAGAGTATGGAGAGAGGGACAGGGACTTTTTCATAGTGGGGGTTCAGACCCTGTGTGATCTTTGATTCTTGTAATTTGATAGATGATATTCAGATTTGATGTCTTTAGTACAAAGAGACACATTTACTTAGGAAGGAAACAACGGGATTCTTGCAAGGCAATCTGTTGTATAAATTTTTTTTCCTTTAAATTTTTTTATTGTTATGTTCATCACCATACATTACATCATTAGTTTTTGATGTAGTGTTCCATGATTCACTGTTTGCGTTTAACACCCAGTGCTCCACGCAGAACATGCCCTCTTTAATACCCATCACCAGGCTAACCCATCCCCCCACCCCCTCCCCTCTAGAGCCCTCAGTTTGTTTTTCAGAGTCCATCGTCTCTCATGGTTCGTCTTCTGTTGTATAAATTTGATTCTGACTTTGTAATCTAGCCCAGAGGTCAAAGAGGCTATAGCGTAATGGCTTGTAAAGAAACTGTATACTTTCTTTCATGTTATAATGGAAGATATGTCAGTAGAGATCAAAGAGAAGAGAGGACCCTCTGATTATTACAGTAAAAATATTACTACTACCTAACATTATGAACACTAGTTGTACTGTAGAATGACTCAGCCATATAATATAAAACAGATGATAATTATGTAGAACAAAAACAGAAAATAAAAGATTGTTGCCATTCCATCTTGTAGAAAGAGCTAGAACAGGTCTTAAAAAAAAAACCAAAACAGAAAACCTTAAATGTTGAGCACAAACCTCTTTTCCTTCCACTTTCCCTTCATCACTCTCAGTGTAGCTGCACTAGATTTTACCACGTGAAATTAAGAGTTACTGCATTTGGCCTGACAATGTGTCCCTTGTCTTAAACAGAATAGTGAGCAGAGATATTTTAGACCCTGGCTTTGGAACACTTAAATAAAAGTATTTAACTCAACAAGTAGATCCTTAAATTGAAGAAGGAAGAGATGAGATATTTTAGAATATGGTGGCCTGGGGCCTCGGTATCTGTTCTGGGGTCACAAAAGGTTCCTAGACAGGCTGGAAGATATGTCAACAGAAAAGATGGCAAGGAAAAAATCAGAAGCAGAGAGGAATGAAAATAAGGGCTAAGAATTTGGTGAGTAAAAGAAAGAAAAGGGAATAAGCTGTTATATCTCTAGAATTAACTAGGAACAAATACAAAGAATCCACCTGTGTGTTAAAGGTTTATCTTTCTGAGCACATGTTTAGTTTTACTGAATCCCACTGAAAAGAAAATAAGTATCTCTCAGTAAATGGTCATGCATATGGTCAGTTGGATGAGATCCCATTCCAGTATTAAAACATTTTTACTTGCTATCCTTTTACCTCCTGATCAATGCCTATTGAAAACAAAAGGGTATGCTGAAACTATACCATATCCATCACCCCAGTCCTCTAGAGGGCATGAGTGTTCTTGTTTATTCCAATTACTACCAATAGTATTCCAACCATGAGGATCTGGATCTTCCAGGAAGAGCGTCTATTACATACAGAATATTGAACCACTGAATGAAAAATGCATAATTCAGGAAGCCCTTCTCTCCTAGATATAAAACTCCAGTTTCAAAATGTTTTAATACATTCGATATAAAATACTTCAGTATATTAGATATAAAAAAGAACTCCTGCTTTTATACTTATTTTAGCATTCGTTTACGAAGTTAGCGACAGGTCATGTTTTAGCTAGAGTATGTAACAAGAGGAAATGGGTTATCTCCAAATTAGATGGATATTTTCAAGCGGTCACTGAAAAGTTTTCCTTCTGTTCATGTTAAAGTTGTATTTGGGTATGTCTTACTAAAAATACAATTACAAAAACACAAAAGAAGGGGAGGAAGCTAGAAATCTAGAAAGGCAAAAGACCTTTCTGTGTACATGGCCATCATCAAATTTCTAGTGGAACAAAAAATCTCAAGGACAACTGAAGAGCTGTGTGTAATATGGTGGAATTTAAAACAGCTTTTTATTCTCCTAGATTGAGAAGATGCTGCCCCACACAAAACAGAGGCTCCCATCTGAGGGTTAATAATTATGGAAGTAACTTGTTTTAACAAAAATGAGGGGGTGACTATAGTGATCCAAATACTTTAAAAAGTAAAATATAAATTCCTCCAATAAGAAACTACTGAGTGAACTTTGTGTAATCTTCAGGATTCCAAAAAAATTATGAAGAGCCTCATCTCTGAACATTTGGAAAAGGAAGCTCTGACCAGGTGCTGGTGTGTCATGAAGTCCAAATCACAGGTGATCAAACAGACTTCATTTTTTGGACAGGGTTACTGGAAGCAGTGGAAAAGAACATTTCTGAGATCCCTATTTCATACAAGGCACATATAAAACCCAGAAATAAATCTCCTATAATCCTTACCCAAATCCTATAAAATAGATTTTTTTAAATCCAAATTTGACATAGGAGACTACCGAGGCTCAAGGAACTTATATCAGTAGTTAGTAAATTGCAGACTTGGGATTTCCAAGGGTTGATCTGTCTGAGTAAAAGTTCATGTTGTCACCTGAAAGAGAAGCCTCTGGCAGGCTGGACAGGACGATGCAGAAGGCACAGTGCTTATGGCCTTCAAAAACACTTTTGACAAAGTGTCTCGTAATCTTCTTGTGAACAAATGCAGAAAAAGGGCTGCACGATAATATTCTTTGATGACACCTTAGAAGAGAGATTTCTGGTAACACCAGAGGGCTCTCTACTCTTCAGCAACTTGCTGAAGAAACAGAGGACGCTGGGGACAACATCAAATATGTCAAATGATGGGATCCCCCAAAGGGCAACTCAGCTCACCTTTTCTCTGTGCTGCCAGTTGCCATTTTCTTGTCCTCCCAATTCCAATTCACACATTTTAACACTAGATTTTCAGATTGCACAGAACAATGTATGACTGATTCGAGGCTGACACAAACTGTTTTGTGTCATTCTGGTGTCATTTTTCCTCAAGGGGCTTGTATGTTTTTCAAAGATAGAAACCGTGTCTTACAATTCTGTTTCTCCCATATCATCATCTATCACAGGGCCGGAGAAAGTAGAAGGTACTTCATGCATGACAATCCGTAGGTTAATTTGGGCGGTATCAATTGTCTCTTCAATACCCTTTTCTAAAGGTTGTTCTTCATTGAATTTAGGTAAATCTGATAATATGTAAAAAGAAAGCGATGGAGCAACCTAATTGCTTTATAAAATGAAGCCGCTATTTCCTCTATATAAGATCTGTGACAATATCACTGTTCCTCTCCATAAAAGTTAGATGTAACAACGTCAGCATGTCTTTGTATATGAAAACTTGTCAAAGTTCATCTTATATTTCCTATTTCTTCTCTCCACTGTTTAGCAGCCCATTGGTAGCTTAATCTTACCTTAAACTTGCCATCAGAAGAGAAAATGCTAACCCATTTATTATCATAGTCTGCAATGATTATGTCCCCACTGGGATGCACAGCCACTCCGGTGGGTCGCTGCAGCTGCCCGGGAGAGCGCCCTCGTATGCCAAACCGACTTTTGAACTGGCCATCATTGGAAAATATCTGCAAAACAAATGACATTCCTTGGAATGCAAACCAGCACAGAAATCAGGGAGGAAGAAACAGTCAAGAACATGCGTCATATGTACTACAGGTCAGAACATGCAAACCCCATTTGAAGAAAAGCCTATACACACTGTAAGCTTCCCTTTCTGTCCTTGTACCGTAGATCTTAAGTCTTAAGTAGGAAAATATGCATATAAAGGTATATAAATAGGGGCCATACCTGTACACATTGGTTGTTGCTATCTGCAATTAATATCTTTCCATTTGTAGACGCAGCTACCCCTTGAAGATTTGTAAATTCTCCTTTATTTCTTCCTTTGGTCCCTAGAAACAAATTATAAAACCACAGAAATTAAGCAATAGAGAATTAGATCTCTCAGTTTCTTCAAGAGAATTAGTCAGGCTTCCACAGGTAACCTGAGAATGTTTTTTTAAATTATACTTAAAAAAAGAGAACCTTTCCCACCATGACCTAATCCATAGGCTCCTAAATTTCTCTTCCAGACCAATGAAGTTTTTGTAAAAATCACTTTTTTTGGCAAATGCAATCTTGTCTTAAGCTGTAACTGCATATTATTTTATTATTATATTGATAATCATATTAAAATATGTTTAGATTTCACAAAGAAACAATAAAAACCCTAATACTACAATCGAGGATATACAACAGGAGAGGGCCTTATTTGAGTTTGCTGAAATCCCACCCTCTCCCTCAGCAGCTCTTGGAAGAAACCTGACTTGAAGGAGCTTCTAAGAAGAAGCTTTCAGTACATTTAACAAACCACAGGGCCTCAGATGTTATAAAACTAGCAGGCTGATTTTCATGTACTGATTTACTTATGCATTATTTTCAAAGACTCACTATCTCATACATGGTATATTCTTCTTGAAAACATAGAAGATATCCTGACAGAGCACCTTCTGGATTAGATAAATACAAAAGGCAAAGGAAAATTAATTAATCCAATAATATTCTCATCCATACTAGGCTTTTTAATGAGAGATGAGGCAGGAGGAAAAAAAAAAAAAAGCCAAGGCGTCTATGGGTTCACAGATGTCTTCTTTTGTTTCAGAATAAGTGTTTGTAACTTATTTCAATAGGACCATGTAAATATTAAGGGATGGAAACAGGCTGAACTTTGCTCAGAAATGACCAGGAAGGAGGTTTAAATTTTCACAATTAGAAAGAGAAAGCTATGTCTCAGTTTTTTTGGCACTTTTATCATTTCATTTCATCCTCTCCTTTCATTTTTTTATCCTACTCCAAAGGGCAAGCTGATCTTTTGGTTTTAGATGTGAATGTGGTGCTGTAGGCGCCCCAGACGATGGCACACTGATGGTGGCCATTGTCAGACGCGGGCTTACACTGCTCACAAAAGGTCAGACTCTTCTGAAACTGATTTGTGGGTTTAGGAAGTGAAACTGGCAATGGAGTTCAACTTGGAATAAACTTAACAGCAGAACTACTGGGCAGAAACATCTTACTTGGACCACCTGGTTCTCACCATGTAACCGAACCCAAGTTCATCTGCCTAATGCAGAGCTAAGACAGTCACTTCGAGACGTGGAGTATGCTGCAAGGAAAGGGCTTATTCTAGAGGCAGCCCCAGGAGGGCACGGGAGGACAAGCATCAAATCTGCCTCCCCGAAGGAGGAGAGGCAAGGAAATTTAAAGGCAAACAAACAAGGTCTGGGTAAAAAGTTGCAGCTATGCAAGTCTCTAGCTTGGATTAGTCCCGTTAACCCTTTGGTAACTGGCTTCAACCCAACCCACATGGCAGTTAGTTGTTTTACCGACATCCTGGACTCCAACTCACCACTTCTATATCTCATCTACTCTTACTAACACAAAAGAAAAATTTGAGATCCAGATTCTCAAAAGAACATCTTCCACCTTGTGGAAGAAAGGGTTCTATTTTATTTCAAATATATCAGAAGAGATGATCTTTTATATTTGATCTGCATAGAATCCCTATAGTAAGCATGTTTATGATATCAGCTAATGCTCTCTTAAAATGACGTGTTGTATCTGTTGGTGGCAGGGGGAAGGGGTGTTTAACTCTTGATGGAAGTATGTGCCAACATGGTATTAGCTTTGGGGCATTCCTGCTGATGTCTGAATAGCGGCTGGTTAACAGGTACAGCAAAAACTGAAGGACCAGGAAAAGAAACTATTCTTCTAAAATGCTCAGTTTAGGGGCGCCTGGGTGGCTCAGTCGGTTAAGCATCTGCCTTCAGCTCAGGTCATGATCCCAGGGTCCTAGGATCGAGCCCTGCATCGGGCTCCCTGCTTAGTGGGGAGTCCACTTCTCCCTCTCCCTCTGCCTCTCTTCCCCGTTTGTGCTCTCTCTCTCACATAGATAAATAAAATCTTTAAAAAAATAAAATGCTCAGTTTATACATAATTTTTTTAAAAAAAGATTTTATTTATTTGTCCAAGAAAGAGAGAGAGCGCATGCACAAACAGGGGGAGTGGCAGGTAGAGGGAGAAGCAGGCTTCCTGCTAAGCAGGGAGCCTGATGCGGGACTCATCCCAGGACCCTGAGATCATGACCTGAGCCTAAGGCAGATGCTTAAACCGACTGAGCCACCCAGGCGTCCCGTATACATACTTTTTAAAAGGTAGTGGGGGCAAGGCCAGAGTTTCTCAAGAGTAAAACTTAATTTTTCAGGAACATTTGATAAAAACATGGAAGTTATGAGCCAGAGGAGGAACTAAGGACCAAGTAAAGAAACATAGTAACAAAGCAAGGTCCTGCAAATGAGACTGGAACATAAACAAAAGAAGCGGCTCTATAAAGAAACCCCAGGCTGTTCTAGGTCCTTCTTTTTTTTTCCCATTAAATTTTTATTGTTATGTTAATCACCATACATTACATCATTAGTTTTTGATGTAGTGTTCCATGATTCATTGTTTGTGCATAACACCCAGTGCTCCACGCAGAATGTGCCCTCCTTAATACCCATCACCAGGCTAATCCATCCCCCCCGCTCCCCTCTAGAACCCTCAGTCTGTTTCTCGGAGCCCATCGTCTCTCATGGTTTGTCTCCCCCTCCGATTTACTCCCCTTCATTCTTCCCCTCCTGCTATCTTCTTCTTCTTCTAGGTCCTTCTTTATATAAAATTGGAAGCGCACCCCTGGCTTGGAGGACACACAGGGAGGGGAAAGAAACACTGAAAATGGGGAGCGGAGTAAGAAAGACCTGAACAGGGTAGATGGACCCTGGTGCTGTCCTTCTGGTCCAGGCAGGGCCAGAAATCAGTCTGCTGCCCTCTTTTATCTAACGGTTTGTCCAGCCTGCTCAAGACAAAGCCTGTTCTACTCAGAGAAGGCTCTGCAGGCAGCAGGTTGATGTTTGAAAGGAAAGGAAAAATTACGGGGAGAATAGAGCTTTAGTAGAAGCTAAGGAGTGCCTTAGTCAAAAAGATTTAATTTTCCTTGTGAAAATGTTGAAGGAGAGAACGTACTTGAACAAAAAATACTAACACTTTTTTCTTTGCAGAAATGAACACACATTTCTGAGTGTAGGTGAAACTTGGGAAGACATTTCTTTGGGCTCCGTGTCAATACCATTTGTAACAAGGAGAAGGAAGACTATGCCCAGTGTGAAATGAACAGAGATGCTCATTGCCTACCAATACTGGGTCAGGAGAGCAATGGAACTTTGTTGCCAAAGACCACAGGGTTGGAAAGAGATTCTACAGCCTCTACTAAGCTCCAGAGCCATGTGTTGGCCCAGCTCTTATTCTCAGTCTCAAGTTAACTAGAGCTTGAGTCTGTTGCCCCACATATAAATAAAATCACAGGGCTGGAAGAACATCTATTAGTCCAGTTTGTGTGCGTGTGTGCATATATATATATATATGTATATATAAAGATTTTATTTAATTATTTGAGAGAGAGAGAGAAAGCACGAGCAGAGGCAAGGGGCAGAGGGAGAGGGAAAAGCAGCGAGCCCAACTTGGGGACTCCATCCCAGGACCCTGAGATCATAACCTGAGCCAAAGGCAGACACTTAACCAACTGAGCCACCCAGACACCCTTTGACTATACATTTTTGAAAGAGCTAGATGGAGCAGCCACTGCTGTTTTAATTTTATATTTGTTTTTAAAAATCTTTTTCTTTAAGCCACATGGCTTAGTATTCAAATAGCTGGGTTGGCATAACAGATAATACCTTCTGATTCTTAAGAGTATCTTTCAACTTGTCAGAAATTATTGGTCATCTTTTTTTTTAAAAATCTATTTCAGTTTTTAAGCATAGCAGGATCACAGCATTATATTTCTGAAGATCAAACGAAACTACCAGCATATTCCTGAGGGATAGCTAATGCTATCTTCACTAGCAGTTAAACTACAAAAATCTTGATGGTGAATAACAACACGGATCTATAGCATATTATCATTATGCTGAAATGCCCACAATCCAGGTGTTTATAAAGTATCTTGGGACCAAAATAAAATAAATTCCAGAAGTTAGAAATAATTTGGGATCATGCTTTATTCTTCAAGATTTTTAGTATATTCTATTTAGACTACAGAAAAGTCTCCCCTCCAGGATGCGGAGAAAGGGGAACCCTCCCACACTGTTGGTGGGAATGCAAGCTGGTGCAACCACTCTGGAAAACAGTATGGAGGTTCCTCAAACAGTTGAAAATAGAGCTACCATACGATCCAGCAATTGCACTACTGGGTATTTACCACAAAGATACAAATGTAGGGATCCGAAGGGGTACGTGCACCCCAATGTTTATAGCAGCAATGTCCACAATAGCCAAACTGTGGAAAGAGCCAAGATGTCCATCGACAGATGAATGGATAAAGAAGATGTGGTATATATACACAATGGAATATTATGCAGCCATCAAAAGGAATAAGATCTTGCCATTTGCAACGACGTGGATGGAACTGGAGGGTGTTATGCTGAGTGAAATAAGTCAGTCAGAGAAAGACATGTATCATATGACCTCACTGATATGAGGAATTCTTAATCTCAGGAAACAAACTGAGGGTTGCTGGAGTGGTGGGGGGATGGGAGGGATGGGGTGGCTGGGTGATAGACATTGGGGAGGGTATGTGCTATGGTGAGCACTGTGAATTGTACAAGACTGATGAATCACGGATCTGTACTTCTGAAACAAATAATGCAATATATGTTAAGAAAAAAGAAGAAGAAGAAGAAGATAGGAGGGGAAGAATGAAGGGGAGTAAGTCGGAGGGGGAGACGAACCATTAGAGATGATGGACTCTGAAAAACAAACTGAGGGTTCTGGGGGGGTGGGGGGATGGGTTAGCCTGGTGATGGGTATTAAGGAGGGCACA